GATGAGAATTTATCGAAAGCTACGTATGCTCGCCAAATACTCTTCTGAAATACAATAATATAAAGGGAGGTTAGAGTTAGCATATGTTTAAACAACCAAGGGGGAGAGGGCGGAAATCTTAAGAGATCAAAGGACAGGGAGAGGAGGAATGGGTCCTACAACTTGTTTATGCCACCCGGTCATCTCGTCGCCGCTTCCTGGCGTCTGGAAACCAGTTGTCATTGTCTCATCACCTTTTCTTGGCATGATAGGAAGCCGAAAACCAATTCAACATCGGGCAGCACACCTCCTACCCCGCCGCAAGACGGTGATGATACAGTGATAACTGGTGTCCAGATGCCAGGAAGCGTTGACGAGACGACCGGGTGACACAAACTAACATAAATTCTTCTCACATGTACTTTTGTTTTAATTACTTTGCTAACCAAATGCTAAAACGGCTCTGGATATTATTTTGAATAGAACGCAAAATCGTCAAGATTCATGTGATTTCAGCTGCAATGAGTCCATATATTTTAAAACATTATGCATTTTGAGGAATCCTGTATAATAGGATATAGGTAACTTAAATTCGACCAAAATTATATAGTTGTTAAGAAAAAGGCTGTATAAAAACATGATCAAATGCTTGTCTCTGTTTCATAAACTGACACTAAGAAAAATGATATGGGTTGTCTGGTGCCTTAGTAAATCAACTGAATCAAATTAGTTTCACCCAAGTGATAGATTTAAAATATGTACAGTTGTTAGCGCTGTTAAGGCGTCAGTAAATATTAATAAGGTTGAATATGGAGCCTAATAGTTTTTCAATAGAATTTAAAAATGGCTGAGGTATAAACCGTCTCACAGTTCATCATGAAAAATATCTGTCTCCAGTGTCTGAAACACAGATTCGAAAGCAAATTCAGATCAGCAAAACCGTAGCCACGTCAATAACGCATATTTTTATTCGTAAAAGTACAGTAGTCAATGCGAAATGAAGATTACTTCGGGCGGTCAGAATTAGAGCACTAGGCCACATAACGTATGTGTGTGTGTTTTGGGATTCATTGGAGTCCGTACTTTTTGTCTTCGGGCAGCAAAGTTTGATCTACAATTTTTTCGTACTTTGCTGCGTCTTCATCAATCTTGAATTCATAAAAGCGACCCGCAATGAGACCCAAACTAATAACACACAAGATAAAGTTTCCAAGGAAGACAAGGTAAGCATATGCAACAAAAACGCCACCTTCCAGCGGTCCTAATAAGTAGCCAAGATTGGACACGCACCGAAGGTAGGAGAGCGCGCGATCCAGATCATCCCTGGGCACTTTCTTTGTGTAAAGGGATTCCGTAACGGCCAGTGCCAATGGCATACCAATCACATGAATAAAGATGCCTGTCATGATGAGGGCGATCCCGATGACTTCTGTGGTGTATTGAATACAGGCAGTGATGCAG